TAATTTTAAATTCACGTATTTACATAAATAATGCTTGAAGCGGGGCGCGAGAATACCTAAGCAGAAGGTCGCCCGTATTAGGTTTGTTTACGCACACGCATGCAAATTAGCTATGATTGTGGTAAAAAAAGTAGATAATCTTTTTTCAGAATTCACCCGAACCGGATCTTGAAAAAGATAGAAACCAGGCGCGTTTGCATATTATATGATATTTATGAAACATGTTAACACTTTTGATAAATGGTTTACCTCGATCGAAAAACGATGATGGATGGGCAATTCTTGGAATACTCACAAAATATTTCTCATTGAAGAATTAATTGTGAAATTTAATTTGAAGGGTTAATGTTTTGTAATGACGTAAAGGTCTGACTAATACACCCAACTTCACCGTGCAAGTCGCATGCAAGGGTTACCGGTTGTTCCTAACACCACACATAACACGCGTATATGGTTTATGCAAATTTAATCGTGGTGAAGTTCGACCATATAGCCGGGCCCTCGTAACGTTGAAATTGATTGGTAAATTTAAAATTTTACAGATGGTCATTAAGGAAGAACCTAAATTTATCAAATCATAAATTTAGCAGTTACAGTTAGTGTCGTGTATTTGACAGGTATTCCTATCAAACACATGACAGAAGAGTAACTCCTATATTTATGATTTCTCAATCACAATCCCCTCATAATTAAGTGCCGCACTCAGACAAGGGTTTAGGGGTGTGAAGAAACCGAGTAATGTAATATTTTTAAGGGTTAGAAGATAAAAATTAATTAATTTATACAAAATTAAACTTTCCATACCAAGAAATATTCCGTTTCACCTTCGGCTTTCGGCTTAATGCGATAATTTTTTATGGAGCAACAAGGAGCTAAACAAGTTAAGCAGGCGAACGAGTGCATGCTGCTTATCAAATTTGTATTTGTTCTTCTATAATAAATAACGAATAACATGAATTTTATAGACATGTGTCAACATGAAAACAATTTATGTATCGAACAATGAGTAGAAAAGCCAGTCATAACATTATTTCACTTTTTATCTATCGTCAAACACATCGAATGGTAAATTCAATTGGTTGTATTTCACGTAGAAAGACATTTGAACAATATTCCTAATAAGACGTCGGTGCTAAGTGAACGTCGTAGTTTGAGAACGCGCCTCGAACTTGTTTATCCAGTTTTCAGTTCTCCGCGCATCAGAAATATATACATTGTGTTACCAAAACAGCTATATAATTATGATTGCGCAAAAAAATATTTTTTTGTGAATTTTTAACTTCTTATTAAAGTTTCAGTAGCAGTAGAGCTCCTTGTGAAAGATTTCGTCCAGGGAAGTACTACCACCTTACCTATTTCTGCCGCCAAGCAATAATGTCAGCATTACTATGTTCCGTTGTTGAAGAGTAAGGGTGCTGGTGAAATTACAGGCACATGGGACTTGTCAACTTATGTCTCAGGGTGACGGGCGCAGTGATAGTGCCCCTCAGATCTTTGCAATTTAAAGCTCTGAGTGGCACTGTAGCTGTTATGGATAGGCGTGTAGCTTACCCATCAGGGGCATGACTTGTTCGTCCCGTCACTTGATGCTATTAAAAAAAAAAAGTAAATTTCAGTCTGTACGACTAGATTATAACGAATATTCTAATATTAGTTAGTCGACAGTAAAGATTATAAAGATATATTAAAATATGAAACAGTGTACACCTATATAGTCGAATATGCAGTAATAATATACGTATTTAATAGTCTAGTTGAAGAATTGGTTAAAACTTTTGATCCTTGAACATTTTCACACAATCAACAAAAGCAAAGAATTAAGGACTATGTAATTGTTAATCACGTAACCTGTGTGTATTATACAATGCAACAATAGGCTAGAGATGATTGCGAGGCGGGCGACCATTGTTGCAGGGGCATTATTCAACATATAGTTATATACTACATGTCAATGGTATTTTTTGCTACCATCATCGAATGGTAGAAGTCAACATAAATACATGGTATATAAAAGTTAGTTATTTTGTTGTTTACGTTTTCTTACAATGGGATACTGCAATGCGTACAATTTCTTGCGCATAGTTTAACATCTTGTACAACTTTTCTATTATCAACTGTTATTGCAAACAGTATAAAAGTATAAGTTATTGCATAATTTTTTTATAACTCTTTATTTATCAATTATATTGCCGGAAAAATGCACAGACAACCAAATTTACTTTGAATTTTCTTTGAAATTAAAACAATATAATCAAATTTCACTTTACAATTCAACGCACAGGTAACTTAAACTAAGTAACAACTATATACAAGTGATTTTCATACACTTCTAAAAGTGCGATGGAGCTAAATCTATCACCGAGTCAGATGCAGGACTGGCGCAACTTTCCGTCAACGAAGTAAAGATTCACATCACTAAGCTACGGGTAACAATTCTGTTGTAATCGACTAATCATGTCACGGATTGAAAAAAAAAATGTGGTGTCAATATTTTTGTGATGTGACTTGTTTAGACTAATGATTTTTTTTTATAAATTTGTTCTCAATAATAGTGTTGTCCTTTCCACATAATGAAATAGGATGAGTAGTTATTGTTGGAAAATTTATTTTTGCAGTTCGGATATTGTTATTGTACAACTATACTATAGAATATCAGCTTTTATTACAAATCAATTTTATACAGAATTATTTGTAAAATACTAACATCCTCTCAGGACCGTATTGCTAACATCATAAAAAACAACTTTTTGTTCCACGACTTTTAGTAATTCATCAGATTTTACTTATCGAGTTCTTAGGTTTTCGCGATTGTTACACATAGGAAATGAAACTATTTTTCCGGATTTAAATCGCGTATATTTGTTTTTTCAAATAACGTCGCGTAAACAAGTCTGCTGTCTGCAAGCGTGTCATGGATAAACCTACACATTCAATAAAGTTTGACAAGCCCCAGGTCCTTGCAAAAGAAGTCCGTTATCTACCCAGGATGCTGCGAGAGGCCATTGAAATTAAAAAACATCCTAATTTCAACGGGGAAGATGGTTTCTCCGTACCACCAGTTTGGGATCCAGTATTTCCTCTAATGAAAAATCCCAAACAGACATAAGACTGCAGTACTAATTAATATGTTTTAGTTTATTCTAATTTCTATTAATAATTAAAATAAATTGAACTTAATAAAAATTCATTCAATAAAATAATTTGTAAAACTTAATATAGCGTAAATTGGAATGTTTTCTTTGTAAAATTAAAAATAAGGTATTTAATTAATAACTATTGTAACTATAGTGAAAAAATAGGGTGGTTTGCATCAATATTAGACTGGTTGAAGACTGTACCACCTCAGTCAACCGTGACAATGGGACCTGTAAAGGGCCCGAAACGTCGGTTTTGTTTGAAAAAACAAATATACGCGATTTAAATCCGGAAAAATAGTTTCAGATTTTACTTTCCAACAAAAATAAAAATAAAAAGTGCTCGTCCGGGAGGATGTTAAAACTTACTACAATTAATACAAAATACAGATCTAAAAAGTGTCATATAATACAACAAATATCAAAAGTTTCTTTTTGGTAAATTTATTGTTTTGTAAAAAGTAATGGAACAAAAGTTATTGTTTCTGATGTTTGTAACATAGTCCTGCGACATTGTTAGTATTTTACAAATAACTCTGAACAGCCTCATATTTTTTCTTCCTTCTATTTGTTCAAATTGACAACCATTATTTTTACAAACCGTGGCAAACAATCTATTGGATTGAAGTGCAAGTTCCTAAGGGTGCGACATAATCGCGTTACATATATTCACAAGATGTACACGACTTTGACCTTTGAAATTTTAGTATTGGTGTCATACTCTTCACAAATGACAGCCTTGTTTAGCTATGGCATATGAAAGGTGTAAAGCTGAAAAAGGAACCATTTATGGACGTAACTGTCCCCTGCCAGTATGTAGTTAAGTTAAAAATAAGTAGTTTAGCCGACGGAAAAAAAATCTGAGGTAAGCTTCAATTTTTTTTCTATTGCAGTTTTATAAGTTTTTGCTTTAACTTCTTACGTTTGACCCATTTGGGTGATCCACAAAGACTTACAACGAAAAGGCAATTTGACCAAATGGCCTTACAGCTCATGCGATATAAGTTGATTCCGTGTAATCACGTATACACAACCAGTAAATATTTATGGGCAATGTAAAACATAGACATTGCAAGGATAAACACTATCATATTATATAATTGATCTATTAAATATGAATATATTGACAGTCAATTTTAATCTATTTATAGAATGAGTTTACATTGACCGTTGTAGATCGTAAAGGGTGTCTGTGAACGTGCGCTGTACAATGAATAATACCAGAATCTCATGAAAAATGGGGAAATTTAACATTGATACAATCAAGTTAAAACGTTATTAATAGTTTGTGACTTTTTAATGTAATACCTTAGTTTAAGTAATTACATTTTAATTCTGATTTAAACATCGGAATTATTCATTCAATATATTATATAGTATATTTCCTACACTGCAACCTTCCTACATAATTGTCTTTTATACCGCATTATTATGTTTATTAGAAAGATTATATTGATTTAGAACTATTGCAATCGAAATTATTATACTTATATAATTGTTGCAAGTGAATGGGGAAATAAAATTATCAAGTAAATAAAACCACATAATAATATGATTACTGAATAAATTTTTGGCACGTCATTTTGAGTCTAATTCAAATAATATGGTTTCCGGTCAAATCAGAGACACCAAATTGGTATTGTCATATTAAATTGAGGTTCTTTTTTCATTCCATTGAGATTGAATGCATATAATGTCCTAGATATAATTAATTATTATCGAAACAAGAAGCTGGTGCGACAAAGTATTGTAAATACGAGGAGTATATTCTTATATGGACTTAATTAAATGTTATATTTTAAAACATTGGAAAATTGAGCTATTCAAGGCAAACAAAAGAGTATAATTTTCACACTTTACTCTATCGTTAAACAAAAACCACAGATTTAAATATAGCAAGAAAAATATCATTATTTAGTGTCTTCATAAATGTCAAAGGTCCAAACCGTGTACAGCAGAATATTAGGAACAAACATAACTGAAAAATCGCAGCGGAATTTCTGAGCGTAAATACATTTGATCGTGGCAAATTAAATATATGGCATATATCGGGCCTCAAAACCACGGTATTATGACTTTCAACGATCGGAAAAAAGTGGGAAAAAGAACAAGTCTCGTTACTTCCGCTAGATTTGTTCCTAAGCCAAATAAGGTAGTCCGCGATCGTGCAAATACCTCTGGCTGAGGTTCCTCGCCAAGGGAGTCACCGAGCGCCTCTGCCTGGCTCTTCATTATCGAGTAAATTTTCACGTACGGCGCCTTCAGCAGCTACGATCCGCAATCGCATAATCAGTATGACTACTTTGTAGAGAATACTACTTTACCGAGGAACATGAGAGTTTTAAGTTTGTCATATTTTCAAGACATGAATGAAAACAAATTTTATCGATAGGCTGGACTGTTGAGAACTTATATTTATTGAATAATTGACGAAAAATACAAATTCAACTTACACTTGTGTTTCACGTAATATTTCATTTTTATTGCCTCTTTCTATATTTACACAATTGTATGAAGTCTCAAGTGTGTAAAATTTAGAAAAGTATCAAAATACCAGATACCTTCACTCATAAAAAAAACATCAGAATTGGTTTTGGTACCATATTATATACATATACATATTTGATACCTCATCCCTTGGGGCCAACAAACAATTCAAAAACATTTACCGCTCATGAATCTTGTTATTATTATAATAAAACCATGACATGTTGGACTGTGCAAGTTAAAATTTTACTCACTGTAACACAACTGGAGTATTATTATATCACTTCACGCCCAAAATTTGCTACTCATGTCAAGTGTAAGCTGAATTTAGCTATTAAGACCAAATAACTATCTAATATAGCTATGTAATAACATTTCAATAACACTTTAATTTAACTAAAACCTTTGAATTTCATAGAGTTTCGTTCGATGAGTTCACTCAAGTGAACTAGAAATATTAAATCGAAATTAACCAAGAACTCAACAGGAATGTATTTGTCCCGGCGGCCAACTGAGGACTGATGTCTGCAAGAGGAACGTATTGAGACGGGGTTGGTACATCACCTATATTGTCTTAAAATGTGGAGCTGGTACAATCGTGCACGTAACAGCTCTTTAAATATCGAGTGGGATTAAATACAATGTCTTACTCTAACAAATCGGACACCCTTTTAACAACCATTATACTGTAGTAATATAAAGGACCTCAGTTACAAAACCTAAGCCCAGCTCAGGAACGAAAATTGCTTTAATGCAGCCTCTCTCATATTCCTTAATCAAAAGTATTCTATATATATAATTTCACTTAACTATAACCACTTATGTTAAGTATTTTGTGTAAGTGTTTTTGTTGTTGATTTTCAAACGTAGTCTATATATAGATTGATAACAATGACAATGTGTTGTTACCAGTACGCGAAATTAATATAATTTAGTTTGAAAAATCCGTACGTCCACGAGTATTGCCATAAAATGGTCGCGAGAAAACGACAACCATAACGGCTACAAATTGAATGGGTAATTTTCAGGTTAGTTTTCTTTACCTAAATTTCTATTATTTATCCATAGGATGTCCATTTCACATAGGATGGATAATGTGACATTTCTTACATTGCTTGCATACCTATTTGTAATTACTTACTCTCACAATCAGGTTACAAAGAGAAATAGTAAATTTGCTATAAACAAACAATATTTGTTTCTATTGTAATTTTAAGCAAAAATTACACTATTCAGTGGATAGAAACTGAAATGATAAAGATAACAATAAATTATCCCGACTACTTGATGCGTGAACCGAAATATTTATCCATAGAGATTTACACCATGGAATCGATAAATCGAATCGGCTATTGCGTATCTCGAGTCAATACATGTGCATATACACTTTGTATGCGAGTTCTTTTATTTTGTTCTGAGGTTTCTGTGATATTTTTGGGGTAATTGTTCAAATTTCGTTTCGTTGATGTGGATTTTATGCTTTTTTGATGACTTTTTATTTGGTAATTGTTGATTTTTTTTATTTGTTGTATAGTTTTTGGTAACTTAATAACGTATTATAATTATATATTGTTTTTATTTTGCTTAATAATTGTTCTTAAAACATACATCTCTAAATAGATTCTCTCTTCGTTACAAACTGTCTCGATAAGATATTTAAATCGATTTTTTCCATTCGATTTTACATTACCACATCTCTAGAAGCGTCAAAGCCCAAACGTTACCGTACCCATGCTATGTGGAATGGACTATACACTCGAATATTAAATAGTATCTCATGATAATATTTAAATAACAGAATTTGCCACCGAAAAATTAGGTAGAGAATAAAAATTACCCGAATGTAAATAATATGAGATAGCGTCGGAAAATCTATTAATTAAAATATTGCTATATGACACAACATTCTTTATAATATAATGTAGATATAAGTTTATCATGTTGTTCGAATTTTATCAACAGGTAAATAGAGAGATACCTTTGTCGAAAACAAATGTGCAATATACCTTGCATCAATTGTTTTATCAAAAGAGTGTCGGAAACGATTAACATATTATCGTATGTTTATCATGTTGCTTAACAATATTGGTAATTTGTGATAGTCCGCTACCACACGACGAGTCGGGGTGTATGAAATACATTGATAAGAGCGCGAAATTATTCTTTATGTGACAAATGATAAGTAAAAATTTTAATAAAACCATAAATATGGCCGATGCAATAAGGGATCAAAACATTCATGTTTAATGTGTACTGTAAATGTGGAATGTGAGATGCATTATCGTCGATAAAAAACGTGTGTTATAAAGCGTTGTTAATTACAAAACGAACGTGTTCGTAAGAAAGAGTATTGTAATGTTTAAAAAATGTATTAGGCTTACAGCTACGACTTACCTCCCATGACTCTCGTGTGAGGTCTGACACATCTCCGGAGCTGCCGGTACGTTCCTGCAGCAAATGGATTCGTTAAAGCGAATCATAGGCGCTGTTAAACGATGTATATATACACTGTGTCTTTTGACATTTCCGTTTAAATATCGACTGCGGGAGTTCCGAGAATAATGTCTATTAGATACGCGTTATTGTTCTTTCTATTTATGTTTCATTCAAAATCGGTTTAAATTTACGTGTCATATTTCTGTGTCAATGACGCACATGTTCACACAATAAGCACTGTGTCTTATACTTATAAGTATATTAATTAATACGTTCTCTCCTCTTATATAAAAAGTCAACATCGCTGTCTTGATGATGGAAGATATGATCGATGTAATAAGGAGAGGCGTCAGTAGTCAAGACAATACCAACGACGAAGTCACATTGAGCTCATTGTGGTGTTGTACCGAATAAGCAAATAACAGTCGCGAGACTGTGTAAATATGTGGCGTAGATATACATTACATACAATACAATTACAAGGGGTCTTTTATAAGCAGTATGAAATTTGTACGTTTTAGAATAATCGCATTTTTCACAAATATTTCCGTAGATATGTAAAAGTGACAGTATACCGAAATCTTACAAAAAAAAAGGCTGAATATTGTGAATTGAATATTGATTTTCATCGAGAACATTTTATACTGTGCTAATTGAAGTATGTACTTTATTTTTTCAGCACGTTAACGATTGTTGCGTCGCAAATTGTTTTTAAGTTGTTTTTTATGAGCCATAACAATATGGTGAAAAACGTTGTATAAAAAGTTAATTAAGAAAAAAATTACAGAATGAACATTACCTTTTGTCCATGCTTAGGTTCGTCATCATCCCATTCAGTGTCGCTGTCAATGAGCTCGTAGCCCTGAGCGGCCACGTCGCCCAGTGGCCCGTATCGGTCCGGCACCCAGTGTGTTAGGAATTTGAATAGATCATCCACCCTGAATAAATAGTTTAGATTAGGTAACTTTTTGCAGATCGTGAACAAACCTCGTTCATTCGTTCTTCACTTTCGTTCTTGACAGATACCCACAGCAATTACTAGGTCTCAAACAAGGGAATTAAATTCCCTTTACAATGAGAACCTGAGCAACAGAATTCACTCTGGGGAACTACCCGGAATACGCACAACCAATTTAAAACATTCGTTTCCAAAATATTCTTAGCTAGCATCCACAATGTTAAGTGCTAGGATACAGACATCATCAATCAAACGATGGAGGCTGACATAAAAGCAATTCCGCCATAGTGCCGATACCATAGACACACATAGACAACCACAAATTACACCCAAATTCGCGAGAGAAATAAATGTAGGCCATACAAATCTTTCTCCCGGCCCGGGAATCGAAGCCGGTACCTCTGCGTGGCACACCAGCATGGTAACCTTTCGGCTACGGAGACAGTTGGGTGATTTGCTTGATTTGTTTATTGTATACTGACCTGTTGCGAGGTATACCGAACCAGTATTCAGGCTTCATGCGCTTACGGCCGTAGGACATGAGCGGCGTGGTGCGAGGCAAGGGGCGGCCCGCCGGCTTGCCCATGCGTAAGCGCAGGTACAGTGGCGGATCGTCGCTAGGCCGCGCAGGCCGCGGTATTAACTCTGCATACAAAACAAATAAAACGCGTATTTCTCTGCGTACAATACAGTACCGACAAAATCAAAAGCGTATAGAGTCCTTTCATAATCGATTGGGTACGAGAGGAAAATGCACTCCACCTATCGTTGGACGTCCCCGGTCAGCATCTAGTTATTGGTGGTTATGCTATAATTGACCAAGAGCGTCCAGTCCCTAAGGTCACACATTAGCATTGGTGATGCGTTCAGCGGGGCGTTTAAAGTTTGCATGTACATGGACACACGTTTGCGCACAATGTACGCGCAAACCTTGAACTGCCCGCTGAACGCACCACTGTTGCGCATTTGTGACCAAAGGTGCGCCGTTGAGTAGTCAGTATTGAGTCAAGCTTATTATAGAATACTTTTTTTATAATATTAAGTGACGGGACGAACAATAGTAAGTAGCACGCCTATCCATAACAGTTGCAGTGCCATTCTGAGCTAAATTTAAATCGCAAAGTTCTGGGGGGCACTGTCACTGCACCCCACACCCTGAGACTTAAGTTGACAAGTCCCATGTGCCTGTAATTTCACCAGCACCCTAACCTTTTAAAACCAGAACACAGTAATGCTAACATTACTGCTTGGCGGCAGTAATAGGTAAGGTAGCAGTACTTCCCTGGACAAACTCTTTCAAAAGGAGCTCTACTGCTACAAAGACTATTTAAGCTGCAATGTTTATTAGGTAGAAAAATTACTCACTATCGAAAGAAGCGAAGAGATCAGGCATATCATCAACGGAGACCATACTGCGATAGTCGAGACGAGGTTGCGTGGAAGTTGACGACGACGACGATTTCGTCTGCGACCGCCCAAATCCGCCCAGCGAGCTTCGCCTGTGTGCACAATCTTTATAGTAACGTTGAATTGAGTTGATTTTTCGGTGTCAACAGTAAATAAAATGCATTACAATAAAGTAAATTTTAATTGAGGAATTGTCCAATGAAATTAACTCGAGAATAAAAGAACATACTCGTTTGTCGTCAAGATAGATAATTAGGTATAAAAAAATTGTTATCAAGTTACTGGTAGCATTAAGCAACGTCACAGTAATATCGGAAAATAAAGGATAGGCAATTTCTGTACCTACGTATGTTATGAAAACCGAAATCTATCGAGCACGAAACCCCTATTAATAGAATAATAATTTTTGGTAAAAAAATCTTTCGCAATTCGTAACCATTTTTTTTTTACTTCTCATATCTGCATCGTCTATCGATGTGTAGATGAGCAGTAACAAATCTTTCGTGCGAATTTCCAAAAATTATAGAAATAACATTATTTGTTTCAATAATACGAATTCCGTGTTTTCGGTCAATTAAAGATAACCGTGTCTTAGAGAAAAAATCAACAGAGATAGACCAGTATAGTAAGCTAAACATGCTAGAACATTTTAGACAGACATTAACAAAGAGTGCCAATAAGAAAATGAAAGTGAAATGAGGTGACGATGGCGATTAATGAACGTCATAAATTCCTGTCATGACAACGTATGACTGTGAACGATTCTATAAAGAAAACTAATTTTTAGTGATTTCTATGGTCTCCTAACACATTTACAACATGCCATTCAGCACAGGAAAGCTACCATTTGTTTTTGGGAAATATGAATCGACAACATTGCGAAGAGAAGAAATAACAAACACGATTACACCAAGTTGCCTAGAACAGAGAAGAGAAAGGATGCTAAACGGGTGACTACAGCGACATACGAATACTTTGACCTTTAAACGACTCATTGACAAATTTACAAAGAACATGGTCTATAACATTTAAACATACTTAGGTTCATCAATGTTCTGTTTTCAAAACAGAATGAACACTTTCCATTACAACTGCCATTGTAACTTATTTAAAAAACACAATAATTTGGCATTTTGGAGAGTTTTTACAAAAAGTAAACTTTAATTAAGGGTGTATGGATCATTTTATGGTATGTTAAACTTTTAAGAGTCGTATTATTTAAGAGTAGAATACGTAATAAGTAGTCTGTAGGTCTCGATTGTCTAAGTTCAAAAGTCAAAGTGATCCTTATAGAAATATCGCTACAATCACAAAACCCTCATAGGCAAAACGCTGTCACATCGATGGCGTGCGACGTACCCCGAGGCCGAGAAGACATCTTGCGGCGCCTCCTCAGACGGTGTCTTACTCAGGAACAAACCCGTGCCAAACTCCACTAGGTTCATTGGCGAACTAAGCCAGTGAACATAGAGAGTTCCATCCAATTGTTAGCATCCATGGTAGCAAGGAAAAATTCCAGTCCAATGTTAATTAATTATGAGCATGTGTTAATGTTAGCTAGTCAATGCGAGCTATTTTTTACATGTGTCGTATTTGAATGCGAGTGACAATTTCGAATAAAATTATAAAGCAAATATGTTGACCAAGTCAAGTAATATTATCGAGATTAGAAATTAAAGGTGTTATGCAATTTCATGTACACGAAAAGTACACGGAAATGGATTTTGGAGGTGTGAGAACACTTCTGAACACACTGTGTACTTCACTTTTGAGGGCGCGTTCTTGCCAAGTTCAATTGCTTTCCATTACCACAAAATGTATAATTAGAGATAGAAGTTTGTGCTAAAATCACTTATCACACTACGAGTTAGACCAAAAACACCAACTTTAAACATATCGCACACTGACCTGTTAAATACTTTGGAGAAGACACTAGTGGAATTGTGACTGTCAGCAGAGGTGGGGAGCGAGTCTCCCTGTGAGCCTTGTGAGCCCTGGTTGCCGGTTGTACCGTCACCGGTGAGGCCTTCTACCCAGGATAGCGGGTAGGAGAGCCTCTTTAGCATCTGGAGGAATTTAATGATAAAGGTTTAAAGAGTATTTTAGACAACGAATATATAATGCGTTATTAAACTGAACTGGACTGAACTAAATTATCCAGAATTCAAGATTGAAAAGGAATTAATGTAAAGCATCTTTATCACGCGTAATTGATACACAGCCGTTGCAAGCATACTTTGGTAATATACGAAAAATAAATAAGCACTATTAAAGAATATGTAGGAAAAAATATAAGCAACACACTTTGTTCTTCTTATCAGGTTTGACGCTGTCATCTTTCTGATTATTTCCATCGAGGGAGAAAGAGACAGCAGCTGGTTTCCTAGGAGCGCGTTCGTTTTCGCCTAGTGGTGGCGCAGAGAGTGGCGGCTCCGTGCGTGGTAGGCACACGGGTGGCACCCAGTCGGCCGAAAGAACAATATCCGCGTCGCTGTATACCTGTAAGTACCATTGAAGTTAGGGATTTCTGTATTTTAAAAAGTGTACTATACTCTGTCAGCACGCTACAGTAATAACAAATAACGTAGAATTTAGAGAAAGAAAAGTATCGAATTATCTTACTAATTCTAATTGAATTAAATTGAAGCTCCTTAGAGCTTTGGTAGTTTATTCCCAGAAAAATTTAACCAGCCTAAACTTTTTTGCTAGATATAAGTTTATAATAAAGAACTAAGTAGAATAATAAAATAAATAATGTGATCTGCATTTTTATTTTTCATTGACTTAAAACAAAAGTGTGGTAGAAATGTTTAAATAATTACCAGCATCACTTCGATAATAAAAAAGTCCCCAAATTCAGCAACACTTAACCGCTAAAATGTTCAAAAACGTAGGTAACTAATTACAATTGGTTATTTATATTGAGACAAGAATGACATTGATATCTGATCTGTCAATATACTTTTTATGGCATTGACCACTAGCCCATTAGCCAAAAAATTACATAAAAATCCGTTCCGTTCCGTGGGATTTGATTCCATTTTAAATGAAATAGTATTCAAAATCCTTAACGATTTTCTGGAAATTGCAGGTCAAAAAAATTGTTTTTAATTCATAATTTTGAGAGGTCTTTACAAAACACCAACTGATAGCCTGGTTAAATTTCCCATTTATTTTAGTACCACTAACGGAACATTTCTTTTAGTTGGAGACGTTGGTAATGAGACATACCGGCAATACGAAATGCAATTCGCTTTAAGAGCGTGGTACTGGAGGATGCAAACAACACTAGCGTAATTCCAAGTGTGTATAATTATTGGACGAAAACAAGACAAATATGAAAATCGCCTTTGCCAATTCAACAACAGTATAGGAAGAAAACAACGACACATAGAGATTAAGTCAGAACGACACAACACCATTTCGTATAACGAAAAGAAAATCCGAATAGTAACACTAATTTTCTCAGAAGAAATTAAACATCACGAGTAGAAAAATTGACCATCCACTACTTCACAATAAATTTTAAAAAAAGACATTCACCCAGAAACTTTTCGGAATAATCCAAATCGTGACAGAAGAAACACATTGAAACATCCAACCAATCACAATTTAGATGTAATGAACCATTTACAATTTAGGACCAGTCCACCAATCGCGTCTGATCCGTCTCACCTCGTCGTGAGAACCTATTGACGACGTTTCAACGTGGTCAATGTGGAAGTGTTTAAGTAAATTCTCTTCGTATGAATCGCCAAACTCGTACATAGACAGTTCAGGGCTCTCGACGATGGTGTCTATTTCGTGATACTCGTAGTGGTCGTCTAAATCGTGCTCCTAGAATAGATTGCAGGGCAAAATGGAGGATTAGGGGGGTAATTCACTAAATGATGATTACAAATTACAGGTCTTAAACCTGTCATCTGCCGCTGGTCAGTCAACCCGCGACTACGGTGCGTGTAACAGTTCCGAAATATCGGCATAAAATGAAATAATTCTGTGGTAAGAAACCTGCAATTAGTGATTATCATTGTTGGATTAATTAGTTCGTGTTTTAGATTAAGAGTCGACAATTTGCTCTCTCCTATTGTTGCTTGGGTGTCTTACCTTTTTGGCATTAGTAGGAGTAACATGTAGAACCGGATCACGAATATCAATTCCAGAGTCATGATACGACAGCTTGACGAGGTGCTGTGCGTCATCGCCAGGGCCGTCTTCAGGGGCGTCGCCCCCCTCTGCGCTCTCAGCGCGGTCGGCGGCTCCCACTGACATTTCGAGGCTCTCGTCTTTGTGTTCTGCGGTTGAGGAGACCTGAAATGCGTTACGCATGAACGTATACAACCTCCAGTGGAATGTAATATTATTTATTATACACATTTTTGGCAATTTATTATTTTCTTCAAATCTTCTTTGTTCAAATCTTCATTCGTCATTATAAATATAAGCATGAAATTTAGTATTAACGAACTGATTTCTGAATACGAGATTATCGTCTAAAAACAGCAATTCGCATTTATTACATTAGTTAATTACTATTAGTTAGATTTAACAAAAAAAACTCGACCGCGATTAATTTGTTCCCGAACAAAACATTGAACGGTGCAATTCGTTGCTTGTGCTTGTTGAATGCTTTCATCGATTGAGCCTTTTTGAGTAAAGAAGAATTTGGAATGCAGTATTTGTGAAACTTCCTAAATGTACGCGACAAACATCCTGGATTTTTGTAGACAAACAAATATTTGTTTTACGCAATAGTCGGTGTGTTTTGTACTACTGCGAGCTTACCTCGCTGCCTTGATCGATGGACATTCTGTCTTTGCTCGGGATTGCCCAGTGTTGGTCCAGTAAAGATTTCCGCCTGTCCTCTGTGGTTTGCTGCAGAAAATTAAAGACATAAAAAACTAGACTAACAGTATCAACATGCCACATAACATAAGGAACCACAGCAGCCTCTAGTGCAATGATTCTCAAAATGGACTGTAACGACCCCCAGTGGTCCACTCCAACCTACAAGGAGTCCAAGTCAATGAAAATAAAATAGGGGTTCATGAAACGTTAAGAGTAGAACCCATTTAGGCAGGTCGTGACCAAAATTTTGGCTTTCCAATCCACGTCACACAAGACAAATTTTACAGACTTACAATAGACATATAAATAATCCATGAAGTACTTAAACATTCTACAACAAACAAGATATTCGGTTAGACAAAATAAACATATTTTTTCATAAAGTTCCTCACTAGCACTGTGTCAGCTGTCAGACACACATTTAAAAAGCAGAAACTACGCAAAACAGAAAAAATACTGTTTGATAGGTCTACCAGACAAAACAGTTTGGGAGCCTGTGCTCTACTGGGTTGATTGGCTTTTGCTATTATACTGTAATTTAATATGCTCTGGGATATACTTTTTCTTAATCATCTTCAAAAAAAGGAGGAGGTTCTCAAATCGACTGTATTCTTTTTTGCATGTATGTTACGCGATAACTCGTATTTGTGAATTTATTTTGATGATTCTATTTTATTGGAAAGAGGGTACCTCGTATTGGTATTGGCCCTATGTTAATTTGAAGAAAACATTCCACCTCTAAGGGTGGCACACTAGGGGATGAAGCCAGAATGAACACGACTTCGCCCACTTTCTGATAATCGACTTGAATAAAACTTGGCAAATAGATGTAATTCCACGAACTTTTAAGATCGGTTTTTTTAGTACTCTGTACTTGAGGTTTATTTCTTAATCGTTTTATGGGACACGCACAGGAAGACATAAACTGACGTTTGTCATTTGAAAACATGTACATCTATTGTTGGGTGGAAGTTTAGTAAACATACACGTTTTGTGTGTGTCACCTGAGTAGGCGTCGGAGTAACCAGTTCCCTCTCGAAAGCCTTGGGGAATGCGGCGCCAGGGCGTTCCTCGGTCTCGCCTGAGCCGGGACGTTCTTCCGTGCCTGCGCCCTCCTCCGCCTCCCCACTCGCTGCCTGCAGCTCAGGGAACGTTTCATCCTAGATAGTATGTATTGTATTCTAAATGTACTGTATTCTAACTTACACTATTTCCACTAATAATCCAAAGGTGATTTTAGAATAGGTGATTGTGATTAAAAATAATACTGTTTTATAACCAATTAAATAAAAATTTTGCGATCTTTCTTTTATATTCTAGCCAATTTAATAAGTGATTCAACGATCGTTCCAATACATCAATAATTTTCTTAAATGTTTTGACTGCAATATAACACTGTCATGTATAAAGCCGGGTACACATTAGCAAGCTGTAACTTTAACGTGACAGATACAGAAACGAGGTTCTAGTGTGTACGCGTGAAAAACAGTCTTCACTCGTTAGAATGAGTGCCTGGCTATCGTCGTCTCACTGTGAACCGCACTCGTTCCACTCGCAGCAAGCTCGCGAACCACGATTTTTGGTAACATAACTTGCTAGTTACGGTTATAGCTCGCTTGTGAGTACCCGCCTGAACATTCTCACCACAAATAGACGAGTGACAATTAAGTCTTACATCTAATCATAAATGACCAACGTCCTTGAAATTTCAAACAATCAATCTTAATTGGGTTTAATTATTACAACACTTTTATTTGTGTCAGTCAGTTGTATTACTCACTTTTAAAACCTATTGAGAACCTTTTAATTCAAAAAATAAATTGGTAATAACAACAATGACTTACTTTGACTAGAAGTGAATCCTTTCCGGGTGAATGTTCGGACTTGTTCATGTAGTAGATTTCGGCTGTCTCGGCTCTGTGAACGCATTTATTCAACATAAAAAGGCAAATGTTTCAACACACGATTTAATATTGTACTAAGTGTGAATCCATTAAATTATGACCAACCATGGAATTTGCATTACATTATAAATTGTGTATTTTTTATACAGCGTGTTTGAAAATTCATTTAAATTAGTACTATACTACAAATTTTCTAGTATGATCCCTGTGACACTTCATTTGATGTTTTCACAGGGATGAGGTAAAGTCGATAGATTTTTGAAGCAAAGGTTCTCTCTTATACAGCCTTGCATGATATTACGGATTTAAAAAAACATAACAATTGAGTTTTTAAAATAAAGGACTCCCATGAATTGTGTATAAATAATATTTATTTTATTTCTGATATCCGATCCGTTATTTCTATGGAATAGGTACAGGTACCGGAGAAGAAATAAATTAAATGTAAACGCAGTCTTTGTTTATGATACAATAACAATCAGCAACCAAATTAGCGTGATTTACAGGGACTCTACTGTCATCAGTCCGTAGACAACATAAATTAATGCTTTCTGTACAAAAATGAAATTCGTAGCCATTGCAATAACAAATTAATAACGTGAAGTCCGTCTTCTGTGAAATTTGGTTTGGAGCAGATACGTGCCTTTTACCAATACTACAGACGTGAATTTGCACTATCCACGACGTTATATATTTATTGAATAAATCATCGAAAACTTTTTTATCGTTATACCTCATCTCTAGCAAATGCAGTCTAATGAAGTAACTTTTGTAAATGTTTTAAATTCATTTTTGAAAAAAAAAAATGTTTCTCTGGGCATTTGTCACTAATTTGGTGTTACTTTTATTTTAATTTTATGTATTTGCTTAAACAAAAGATATTCACTTAAAAGCGAGACTTATAAAAATAGTTGAGACTTATAAAAACACGCATTTTATATACGTAAATTAGTAGACTTCGTTACAAGGTTATATTATGGAGAATTTTGTGAAGTGTCACAGGGATCGTCCTAGAAAATTTGTAGTATAATATAACATTTATAGTAATATACTTTATAAAATATATTTCAAAATTAAGACATAATTACCTACAAAAATAGGGAAAGATGTTTGGGCATCTAATATGTACATGTTCATATCACATGTTCTTAGAAGCATTAAAGAAACGAAAATCGAAGGAAAGAAAGGCGAGGGAATATTAAGATATTTAGATCAGATAAGGCAAAACTTCATATTGTGTCATATCCGGAATTAAAGTTAAGCCGCCTAATAACGATTCGCGGTTACTCAACCTGTAAAAGCCTAGCTCTTAAATAAGAAGAACGACTATTACAATTGTTATGGCTTAGATGTACTTTTCAAGTTAAGATTAGATTAATATCATTTATAAGTTCGACGTAATTCACAATTAAAAGATTCCTATGAAAATTCAAAATTCAGTACTCACTTGTGCGGATTATGATCAGAGCTGTGCGTGCGCATATGAGCGATGTCGTAAAAGATGGCGGCGTTGACAACGTATTCCATTGGTGCTATAACGCCGTAGGATTCCGGGCCATGTTCCATCACAAGCGTGTCTGATACATTCGGGTCGAACATCACTGCGTTGGGAGTTACAAGCAACACGCCGGATACTACGCCCTAAAAGAAACAACAATTTTAAAAAACATTGTATTATATACTTGTATAGGATCCCAAACAAAGATAAACATACAAATATCATCTATGGAATAAAATTAGGCACGACATTGAAAATTATAGAACAATTACACGCAATCGCGTGTATCGCTTGTGTTTTAGCTTTTAATCATTTTGTGTTCCGTTACATAGTTATTTTATTTCTTTCCCTATAGCTGTTTAAAGAAATCACTTGTAAAATTCTTTTATTTATTTATTTATATTTTTGTTTCCTTGTCGTTTTAGATTTGGAGAATGTAGTTTTACACTAAAATTTAGACTAGTTTTATCGTGCTGCGACGCTATTTTTTGCGTGTGATATAGTCTATTAATGTGTCAAACAGTATCTGCTACCATGTGATGATTACATTCTGTTTGTGTATCTTTAGGATAAAATAAAAATAAAATGTACCGTATAAAATGACAGTGAAGTAAAGACGTTAAATTAAAATACCTGTAACCATCGCTCTAACCACAGTATATTTATAGTTTAAACACAAATCAAAGTGACTCTACATCGTAAATTACAATTTAATTTGCAGTTATTTATATATGGAAGGTATAACACATAACAAAACTAATAACGTTTCTCGGAAACATTTATCTCGGGATCACAAGTCAATAGTTAGGAATTGGCAAATAGGTAGAACTGTTATCACAAATGTCAACAGAATGAGTCACAGATTAAACCCACTTGGATCAAAGTTAAATTATATCGCAATATTCATGTACCGGAGTCGCGATGATGTCTATGAATTTTATGTATAAAAAGGTGATAGTTTTTTAAATTCCATTAACAACCTTGTCATGGTGAGACGTTATTATATTTATTATCATAAAAACTGAAAGTTGGCTAGCTAGTTTTAAAGCTACATTCTCGAGATAATTTCGTAGAACAAACTACTCTAAAAATGGTTTCTACGAACTCCGTGGTGACTTCCATACTGGTTTTTATGGTGCCGACATCTCTGAGTTTTCGTGTTTGATCCCCTTCTTTATTGTTTCGGGTCTGGGTATTTGTGGCACCGTCGTTGTTTCCGATTTCCATAATACAAATGCTTTAATTACTTACTTTGGGATCAGAGCAAAGTACGTAATGTTCTCTAATAGTTATTTATATATTTGGGTATCTTTAGGTGTGCTTTAGGTGTTTATAATAAAAACATAAATGAAGCGAAGTAATTTTTTTTAAATTTATTTGCGATCTAGTAAAATTCAACAAATTGTTTTAAATTTAGCTGTTGACACCGTACTTGCTTGCTAAATTCTTGTTATATCTGTGGAACTCGAGGTCTGTTTGTTATAATCAATGTTTATCACCTACCTGTTTTAGGACTGTTTGTTTCCCTTGAATAAAAAAAAAATATTGTGGTACACTGTAAATAATAAATAGTACGCTGTTCATTTCAAGAATTATTTTGGTTCATACAACGGTTAGCATCACAGTTGTATAAACAAATATTTCATTATGATTTTATAATATTTCGGAGAAAAAAAATATTACGTTGTGTTTCAGTTCTCTCAAGAATTTATTAGAATTAAATCTGTCTACAAAAAGTATTAATTAAAAGTACGTTTACGTTAAAAATATATAAATGTAAACGAATTGCCTTCTAAAACAGTAGCGTGGCGACAAAAAACTACATAATACGACTGAATGTATACTGACTGACTACTCAGATACTTGTGTGCATGCCCTTGTGATATTATTTAAAAAAACAACACGTTACACTTAGTGCCGTTGTTGAAGTGCATGTGAGTAAACGTGCAATGTGTTTGCAAGTTAGGCCGAGCGCAGTGAAACCATACTTCATCATACAACCTGTGTTTTCACTAATAAATAACTTACGAAAATTTAATTTAGACCTATTAAATCTATGCTAGCTAACCGAACACAAAACTTTTAATTTTTTTCAATTGTTCGATAGGTTGTTTTAACTTATATGATGCGTTATAATAATTATGTACCAGCTAACCACACCAATTGTATAGTATCAAAGTAGAGAATTCACTGTATTACGAGTACCAGAGCAACAGAATTCACTCTCGGGCACTTCCTAGAAAACCCAGACCAGAACCAACTTAAAAAAGTTCATTTCCCAAATTGGTACTACCGAGAATCGAACCGGGGACCTCCGTATCTATCGCCCACAATGTAAACCGTTAGGCCACGGAGGTGGTCAAAATAATGTGAAAAAAAAGGTGATGAGGTTACCTGTCCATCAGTGATATGTCGAACATTGATCTTGAGGAAGCGTTGCGGCGCGGTGCTGCTGGCTGGTGCCTCGGGTGATACCGGTCGCAGGCTGTCCAGAATCTCTGCAATGCGATAATATCATCAACAACTTATTATCGGGAATTTGATTAAACTACTTGAATCATTTCACACCGCCACGTTCAACGTCTCATGGATAAATCGGCCGTCTCACTAATTGCTACCTGATACTTCAGTAGTAATTGAGTATGACGTTACAGGGCTTTCAAAAGCAAATGTTCTCTACCAATCGCAGTGTGTCTACTTTTCTTATGCATCGAAATAATCGTTCATAGAACGAGAATGACACGAGCTGCGGCTAAAGATACGAAGTGCTTAATTTTTCGGATATAATCGCGTATATTTGTTTTTTTCAAACCAATGCTTCGGGCCCCTCACAGGCACCACGGTCAAGGCTGAGCTTGTTTGAAAAAAAAAACAAATATACAGGATTTATATCCGACAAAATGGTTTCATTACCTATGTGTATGTGCCAGCGATGACCTACAGCTCTGAGACGTGGTCACTTACTATGGGGCTCATAAAAAAGCTGGAAGTCACTTAACGAGCTATTATGAAGCGAGCAATGCTCGGCATACCTCTACGTGATCGTATCAGAAATGAGGAGATCCGTAGAAGAACGAAAGTCACCGACATAGCTCGAAGGATTAGCAAGTTGAAGTGGCAGTGGGCAGGGCACATAGCTTATAGAACTGACGGCCATTGGGGCAGTAAGTTTTTTGTATGAAGACCACGAACCGAAAGGTGTTCAAACGGGACGGCCCCCTACTAGATGGACGGATGACCTAGTAAGGGCGGCGGATATCCGATGGATGCACGTTGCGTCCAATCGGCTGGTTTGGAAATCTTTGGGGGAGACCCTGTGTTCAGCAGTGTACGTCTTCCGGCTGATAATTTGTGTCACGATACTATATTAATAATCGCGAAAACCTAAAAATTCGATATGAAAATACGTTGCTAAGAATTTGCTTCATACCAGTAACGACAGTCAAGCGAGGATGATTACATATATTACAAAATTCCTTCTAACACCTTCACATAGTTATGTTCATATCCTTTACATATTAAGGAAATAGTTCACATATCGATGGCTTTCCAGAATAGTGACCTATCTCAAAAACACCGAATTCAACAGGAAGATGTTCTAAAATCACTTGAGACGTGTTTGCCGTGCAAAGTTGACGAATCGTAGACCATGTCAATGTTGCCATGTGATTGATTTAACCAAGGAAAATCTCGGCGTTCCATTCATCATAAATATTTCACATTTTCTGTTATTATATAATAATAAATAGGTATTTAAGTATTTGAAAACTGTTAAAGTCACTAAATTTTGAACACTGTCGATAGCAAATACATTTATTTACATAATCATAAAACTCAAAGTACTTATATTATAACTGAAACTTACTTTAACGACTTTCCAATATCAACTTTTTTCATATTTCGGTTACATTTCGTGTGTTTTGTCGATCGACTTGTATAATTTCAACTTGCGTTTTATTTAAAAGTTTAAAACGTAATCTAATTCTGTAAATATAATGCACCGGCTAGAACAAAATGCATTTCGACACTTTACAGAAAAAAACGTAATTTCCCACTCAAACGATATGTTTTTTGCATGATAGTATGTAGTTATTTATACCTTTTTCTTGCGCCGGCTCACTCGAACCGCCCTGTGTCGATTCGGAGGTGTTGTCCCCGCTCTCTGAGGGACCATCCGATTCCTTATCTCCATCTGAAAACACGTGTGATCGTTAGACAGCTGATCATCCGCGACACGCCATACAGTATGCCACAAATTGAAGATACACACCATACCACCGTTTTAAAAATCCAAAACTGAACATTCTTGAACGACGGAGTTGACAAGGTCCATTATATCAGTTTAAATGCTATCGCATGCGATAAAGTGATCCCATATCTTCGTGATGCGGCCTATTTAGCGTACGTGTTGGCTGAATTGACTTTTATGCCGCGCAATTAAGGTTACGTTTTAGTGTACCGTGCTTTAAATATAAATTGTAGCCGCGTGGCGCTCGGCCGCTGGCTCCGCGTGCACTGTAGCGACAGCTGCAATGTTGTAACTTTTGTTTCGTTTGTTTGCCAAGCAAATAGGAGAAAAATTTGTTTCTCTTCTACGTCACACGTGAATGAATAACATCAAGGCTATTGTTTCGCTCCACGACGGACAATATGCATCAATTGTAATCAACACCATTTAAGCCGGTTGATTTATTGCTTATTTGGTTATAAGTTGTGTAAGTTACGTCTGCCTTAGATTATATATAATTCAAATGGTGATAATGTGATACATTCGTGCAATGCATGAAATCAGAGTTAACATAGTATGTTTGTATTGGTATGCAACAGAAGCAGTCGAAATCTAAATTAATGGCGGTGATAAGTGTTATCGGTAAATTGTTTTGATGTTGGCATTTTTATTACTTTAAACAAGTCATTAATGTCTGCCGCTTATTATTGTGAAAAGCTAAGTTACATTTTATTAGAATCGTGCTGTGGAAATTACGAAGGAGCGCCTGGGTGACAACAGATCCGTTTTGCAAATTTCAGAATTATGATTTTAATGTCGTCTGTAACTGGTTTCAGTTTTTCTGTAATGGTTCAGACTCAATCGTAAATCCTGAAAATAATTGTGTAGTAAAACTCTGATAAGAAAATATGGAAATTTAAAGTACACGTTTTACGTCATGTTTTGATATAATTCTGTTCTATGACCTTGTTTTGGACTATGATGCAACGCATAGTGTACGAACAACAATGTACTTACTGTTCACGCAAACCAGTAAATTGTCTCCTAGCTCGGAGAAGATAGTCTCCACAGATTCCAAGAAGTTATCTATCGATTCTCCGAGCATGTTTACATCTAACTGTTTATATCTAACTACACAGTGGTTGCTAATTAAAAAATTATTGAGTTGCGAATAGAAACAACTTCCACTCGTTGTGGTTTGTAAACTGCGGCTATACTGAAGGCCGGTTAGCAAAACTCTGAATTTTTCACCGAACAATCGGTCACGCTTGATAAAATTATGCAATTAAGAAGCGAGATTGCTTGTTACTCCTAAATTTAGATTCATTTTTAACCTTGTGTTATTGTAGCGATTATAGAATAAACTTGTTTAATTATGTTGAATTTCATCCTTAGTGTTAACTAGTTAACACGTCGCTTATAACACAACATAGCTCACACCGCGTTTAACGGCGTTTATAAAGAACTTATTCAAATATTAAATATTCGTTTCGTAACAAGTATCGATTAATAACAGTATAAACACTTTCAAAAACCCTTTCAAAAGCAATTAGTCTTTTAGAAAGAAATAATATATCAACACCAATGATGTCACCATACATAAGTATTAACCATCGAGATGGTATTAACAAAGCGTGAACATTCAGTTTTGTCATAATAATTACGAGTAATTGAACAATTTTTAGCCAGTAAAATATTGTAAGATATTTAAAGATTTTTACGTGATTTCAAGAGATTTGTCCCTTTCAAAATAAAGCAAATATCACACACATGAAAACGCAAGTTTTTGTGACGAACTTGCTCTTCATTTTTTTAAGTAAATGGACATGCTCTCGACCACCACCTAGTACTGAAGCAAAGATAGGGTCTACGATGGAACGAGCTCGCCCAGAAGATGCCTATTCAGTCGCACCTTAAAGATTGTTGTATGTGTGTAGTAATTGTAAATGCTCGGAAACTAAGTCGCAGTCAGAGAAGCCCATTCCTGGACTGTGCGCATAATACAAGATGATGAAAAGCACTTAGTACGCCTGAAGGGAATATCGACCAAGTAAGGATATATCCGGCCGCACGTCTCAACACATTCACAGAAGCATATTCTTTAGAAAACCGACAGACAGGTAACTTTGCGCCGGTAGGCTAAATGGGGAAATGTTTTCAACATACAGATTCTCTACAACGTACATAATATATAATAACTATAGATATGCGCATTGCACATGCTGTTTCTTTTAATGTTTTTCGTTTTATTCTGTTCTAAATGCATTCGTGTATATTAAATGCAAATCGCAACACCTTGTTTTTGTTTAGTAGATACCTAAGTGAGTGTGAGAGCAAGCGAGTGAGTGAGTGAGCATCTAATTTTTTTCAGTGAGTGAGTCGATGAATCAATGACATAGTTTGTGATATAAATACGCAAGTACTCAAGATCATTGTTGTAGACCACAGCTAATTCCTTAATCTCATTCTGACATTTTGCTCGAAGGCAAATAAAATTATTACAATATCATGGTTAGGTTACAATTTGACATTTCGGCAAACAAAAAAATCCCTTATTTCTCAGCACCTTATTAGTGCAATATTTGTTTGTGCAGTGTTTGTGTAACAATGATACAATGCCCACCTTTCCTTTTATCAGGTACAAGCAAGTTCTGTCCGGAGAAAATAAATTGCGTGGCCAACCGATTCAGCTTGGTCAGTTCAGACGGGGTGGTATCGAACCGCGCCGCCACTGATGTCAATGTATCACGGTCACGCACCTGCAAAATTACAGAAACAATTGGTAAATTATATTTATCGATATGTATACACTCTTGTAAAGTTGAAAATTGCTCGAAAAATCCCGAAGTTGCGAAAACGTTTTTTTAATGATAACAAGCGACGTGCTCCTGGTGATAAGCCACACGCCTGTCCATAGCAGTTGCAGTGCCGCTCAGAGCTTTAAATCACAAAGTCTGATGTGCTTAGGCAAAATAGGCGCCTTGACGTGGAGTTGCGGACACCAGCCCGTTACACCAAGTACCTTGATGACAATTATAGTTATGACAATATTAGGTTTCAAACCAGGGAATTTCCTATACCATACTAGAACTAACCAAATTGATCATGCCGGGAATTAAACAAATCTCATCCTCCTCATTTAACGCTCACAGAGGAAACCGATGGGCTACCGAGATCATGAAATTGCAAGTACATAATGACTTTGTATAACTTGTAGGGCTAGCTCGACAGGGCGCGACTTGCGCGACAGCGACATAAAGCGCGGGATCTCTATGCTAGAATTAATAGCAAGCAGTACATCGTGCTTTATGTCGCTAACTACATATAAGTCTTTTTTTTATAAATTTCACATAAAAATAATTGAATATGAATTCAATAACAAATTAAATACAGTGAATAGCGACATCTCTAGCCGGGGTTGATAGCTGTAAAGGTATGTAACTGCATGACGAAATACTTTCATAGATTTCTCATAGATGGCGAAAAATTCGTGAGGTCCGCTGGTACGTTCCGCGGTATTCCGCCAGTTGGTATAGCGTCTGGCACGATATGCTAGAAGACGTCGGTTCGAATCCGACCGGATCAAAGGAATTTTTTCGATCTTTGTATTAATAATTATAATAAACTAGTGGACTAATTTCACATAAAAAATAATTGAATATCAATTCAATAAAAAAAAAAATATATATATATAAATATTGTTAAGTAACATAACCTGCATCAGTTACAGAAATAAACGAATACATAAATCAGGTCATGATATTGATTCACATTATTCAATTATTTACAAATTTGTCTTACAACTGCAATACTTCTCACGGCGTTTTCCGTTACTCAATTCAATATGATAATAAAAACTGATCTTATTGTGAACTGAATAAAATTGGTAATAGTTTGCCGAAGAGTTGTTGTGATGCAAAAAAATTCCCCATGTTCTTACAAAGACGACTTAAGGCCTTGGGAAATTCGCTGATTCATTAGTAAAACCCTGTTTCTACGGACATTATAAAATAATCATATCTACAACTATGTAAGAATGATTGTTGATCTAACTAATTAAAATAAATCGCATTCATGTATTCATTATAGTACACAACTCATTATTCACTTGCTTTTCACTATTTCCAGACAAATGAGTGTCCCATATGTTTTTAAATTTTATTTAATTTAATCCTAATTAAAATATTCGTATTATAATATATGACACGTCGCTTCGTGAGACGACGACCAATGACCAAGGAGGTCATTGAGTGGCACCAGGTAGGAGCGAGATGTCCTCGAGGCAGACCACCTGCGGAGTGGCCGGAAAACTGTAGATGAGACTCGCACATGACCGACTGAGCTGGCGTGCAAAAAAGGAAGACTACACCAAACCCCATAATTTCAATATAAGTATACTGCCGTTCTTGTCATAACTAGAGATGGGCGTTTAAACAAAAAGCACTTAAAAAGGTTTGCTTTTTAAAATAAGCTCCTAAAAGCACGCATTTCAATTTAAGCGAAGTGTTAACAACGTGCTTATGTTTCATGTCCCGCCATCTATGTTTGCTAAACAAATTAATTTGTCAATGTGAATAATAATTTTATAAATTAAAATAAAAGTCATGTTTTACAAACTCTTGTCTACTCTTGCTTTTCGCTATCAACACAACGACGCTAGCTTTTTTTAACGTAAAAGTCCATGCGCTTATACGTTTTTCTAAACGATTTTGTAAGTTTCAAACTAAATAGCGTACTAAGTGAAAAGCGTTTAAAAAAGCACAACGTAAACGTTTAAAAAAATACGCAGTGTTACCTATCTCTAGTCATAAGTAACGAATTTGCGTTTTGGTAACTTTGGAGACATAGTCACCAAGTTTTTTTACTGGTAAAACGAGTAAAAAATGTTAATTACGCAAATTTTGCTTAACAATAAAACTGAACCTAAATACGATATTAAAAAACCGATTAGAGGGTCTTGTAGATCTTGTTTCGCTGATCTGATCTCAGATGTGTCAATAACGCAATTTCGCTAAAAATATCAATTACGTCGATTACGTCAGTTATGATAAGAATAATAATGACAAATTGCTCCAGTTGTCTTAACTCACCGTATACGTCATAGTTTTGATAGGCGGTGGAGGAGGTAATCTCTTGACTTGTTCGTCTTCATCTGGAACAAAACATATATTCAAAAATCGTTTGTAATATTATACGTGATACAGCGCCTAAAGGAATTTAATAGCAAACAAATCAACAAACCAAAATGCTATGGTTTTATTGAAGTCAAACGCAGATTGAAAATAAATTGTCCCACCAGAGGGTAAACACTAGTCTATGGAGCAAACCGATAGCGATAGCTAATAGTGTATTATTAACCGGAATAAAACAGAATGTGTAATTCTGCAAATTATTGTTACTACAGATACTGCCTACTTATGTTGGCCGTAGATCACTACAGATTGACGTTTGTCGTTGATCAAACCGTCGGCAATTTTACTGTCGCCTATAAAACATTTCCGTGAGAAATTTCTCTCCCCACAATTTTTTTTTATATAATATCAAGTGGCGGGACGAACAAGTCGTGCGCTTGATGGTAAGCTACACGCCTGTCCAATTGTTATGGAATGCCACTCTGAGCTTTAAATCCGCAAATATCTGAGGGGCACTGCAGCTGCGCCCGACAACCTGAAACGTAAGTTGACAAGTTCCATGTGCCTGAAATTTCACCAGCACCCTTACCCTTCAAAGCCGGAACACAGTAATGCGAACATTACTGCTTGGCGGCAGAAATAGACGGCGGCACTTCCCTGGACGAACTACTACCTACTACTTTGTTACTTGTTGTTTGTTGTTGTTTGTTTTACACTTCTTTTGGATTATTTTAAGGTTGTTGCCATTCTATCTAATTAAAATTCTTACGTTTACTTAAACACACAGAAACGGAACTTCGTATGTTCAAACTTTGTAAAGATAATATTTCGCACGATCCAAATGTTTATTTATTAGTTATATTTCTGTAAATAATAACCAGATGTTGAAATGTTTATAAATCACGTCGCCAGCCGAGTTTCATTGCAACTATAAAACCGTTTATTTTGTAAAACATTTTCCAAACCAATCTTTAGGGCTTTAATATGGTTAGTGGCTTATTTTCCGTACGTATATATTTATTTTAGTATTACTTATATAAGAAACGATCGTTGTAAATTTTTAATGAATTATTTTAACAGCATTATTGCCTTCTCGATAGCTCCCGTGTGACTGCATAAATAAACAGTTCTGACTTGAACGGAATAACTATAACATTTAGGGCGGATGTTGCTGTTAACGGGAAGATCGCAAAAGATCACTGAAAAAGTGCAAAAATATCTGAATCTCATTTGTTTCACTATACTATTAAAACCAGTAAAAATTAGAGCTTAAAATCTTTATTTCATAGGTAGCCTAACGGTTTGACTTGTCACTCAAACACTCCAAATCTGGGCTCGCCTTTGAGATTCTCGAAATTTATATGTGAAATTTAATTTGAAATTCACAATGAGCTTTTCGGTGAAGGAAAACATCGTGATGAAACCTGCACGTCAAAGAAGGCTCACAACCTTCGGAAATCGTGTAAAAAGTCACGATTTGGGTCAGCATTGCGGACTATTGTCTAAACTCTCGCCTGAGAAGAGACCCGGGCCCAGCAGTGGAACATATAAATGGGTTAATGATGATCATGATGATGATGAAACTTGAAATCGTCAAATTCATTAAAATCTACTATTCATTCGTAAGGCAAACTGCCATGAGAAGAATGAATAAGAAACTCTTGCTCTTTGCGAATAAAGATTTGTACACATTTAGAACATTTTTATTTCAAATAAACGGGTCACTACCAACGATTATTGTCATCCAACTACGCAGAAGCTGTATTCCTTCAGTATAAAATTTTTCTTTCACTATAGTCATAAACCTCGAAAATGGCAAATTTTGAATATCCGCCAGAATTTTATTATAGAAGCGTAATACTTTAAATGAATTTGTGACTTTATCACAACTGACAAGAATAGCCAGTTTATTTCCATTCTTCGTATTAATGTTATCTCTATCACTATTTTTCATTAAAATCTACTATTACTTTTAACAGAAATTACTTTTTCATAAACATACCGTGACGCTAGTGTAAGAACATAACTGTATTCAAAATTCTATCTCAAAGACATTCTGTTGCTCGGATTGTGAATTAACGATACAAATTCTGCTAAGTTCGTCTACTGAAATTTCATGAACGTATGAAGCCATGGAAGTTGGAAAGCTTCATTCGTTTAATTTATTTCTAACGATACGTTAGCTGCAATTTATTTGCACAGTAGAAAATACAATGTCGTCGTATATCTTTGAAACGCATTTATAGTGCAAATTAATACATCTTATATATCAGACTGAATATATAGAATTTGTATCATCTTTTCTCACCTCTGTGTACAGCGTCAAATCTCCCCTCGACTTTGGAGCGAAGTGCCTCCAGATCGAATGGCGCCGCTAATCCATGATCCACAGACCGGCTCTTCGACCTGCAAAAATACACAGCTTAATTAGCACAGGCACTACACTGATAATAAATGGGTATCGTAGGAAAGATTACATGTCTGTGATTACATTAATAAATAAATTAGTAAAATTAATAAACATAAATTCTAAAGATGTATGTTCTGCGCAATATAAAATTTATAGGTAATGCGATAAAATAAAACTTCTAAACAATGCCGTCCTGTTTTGGAAAAACAGGACGGCATTCTACAATAATAAATCGTTTAAGTAATGTCAATCTACCGAGTTCAGTTTTTCAAAAAAACCTACGTCGTCGGCTAACCAATTCTAGAAAATTCTTCTAATAATAAACTAGGATATTAAGAACAGATCGTTTGTAAATTCTACTCGGGTAGAAAATCCCTTCAAACCCTGTTTGGTAAGCTAAAAGGTTGCAAGACCCTTCGATAGGGCAGTTAGCGCGTGACTTGCTGAACAACACTACAAACACGTGGCTTCGACGGTTAATTGTCGTTACCCACCACGATATAAATATCTCAGCGAGCTTTCACACAAGTATTGACATAAGTGAATACTTAAAATTTCCTAAGAGTGTAATATTCGCGCGCAACGAAACAAAAGAAATATTGAACGTCAAGATTTTGATAGGGCTATAAAACCCACTTGAATGAATAGGGTAATATCGTAAACTAGAATTACGTTACTTCAAATCAGTTTCAACTTGGAAACTTATTTAGTTTCATTTTCCTCCAATTCTCGCGATCGCTACAGATTAGACCTTGATTAAATCGACTATTCATACTACTACTGTTATACTAAAAAAGAGGTTTTGAACAGATAAAACATTAAAAAGTAATATTGTAGAAAAAAATTAAATGTGGGTTACACCACTTTAGCACTGATAGCCTCATTTTATAGTGTCTAATCAATTACAATCGAGTTGCCGGAATTAATAAAAACAAGCCTTTGAAAACTGAAGCAGAAGGCAACTTTTCTAATTCTTAATAATGAGGAGAGAAACAATCATAGTTCCGTTCCAACCAGTATTAGGCCGTCTTATGAGGGATTATGGAATTACACAATTGGGTCAACGATTTTCGGCCAAATGTTTCAATTACGAAACCGATTTCCGAGCCGCATTCGTTATGAAACAAAAACATAATCGAGAATAAATAGATACCAATATAAATGGATTTTAACTCACAGACGATCTTAATGTATATATAAGACATCATATTTTTTGCGACTCTATAATTTAAATGTAGCCTTTGTAGACTGGTAGTGATTTTAATATTTTAGCATAATGACTGGACTGCGGGCCGTGCATGTCTTAACTCTGTCTGTAAATAAAACAACATTCCAAACTAGATGCTAAGCAACTGTGACGATGGAATGAATGAACTTTCTAATGTTGCACCATACATTTGTGAAGAGGAATTGTACTAAAATATATGTAGGAAAACGACAAATAATGTAAATAAAAAAATTGTTACCTCTTAAAAGTCTGGTCGATGCTTTCGGCACTCCGGGACAGCTGCTGTGAAGCACGCCTAGACCTGCATGCAACAGAGACCACGAGCTACAGGTACGCCATGCAAAATAAATAAAAACAAAATACATACTCAAATAATTCTCTACGGCATTGACACAAGTCGCACATTATTCCGTTGTTTGTGCAGCGACGAAAGGCCAGAATTATATGAATAAGCATTATTAGCACGTTACCACACTGATTTGAACTGCCTCCGTAGTCGAACGGTTACCATGCCGGACTGCCACGCAGAGGTCCCAGGTTCGATTCCCGGTCCGGGAGAAATATTTGTATGGCCTACATTTATTTCTCTCGTGAGTTTGGATGTAATTTGTGGTTGCCTGTGTGTGTCCATGGCACCCGCGACACAGGGTTTCCCTACTGCGGGGATATGTTGAGTGTGTGCGTTATCATTATTATTATTATTATTATGAAGCATTAAAATACTTCGTTAAATTTTTAATGAAAATCCAAATAAAAATATTAATATTATAATGTAAATATTTATGTTCCACCAGTGTGAGAACGGTCGTAAAGTAGTAAGCCAAAATAGTTTTTCAGCACGATATAAAAATAAATCAATCGGCAAATAAAACATGGATAGCCACCACATCGATTCATGCGATGGGTCTATATATCTAAATGAGACGTGCCATGCTTAATAATGACCCACTGATTTTTTGTTCTATTGATAGGTATGCTTTCCTACACGTGAAAGTGGTTGTGATTGTTTAACATACGTTGGTTGGTGATAAATAATAAATTTAACAGCAGTACAAAACGATTAACGCCAGAGTCCGGGTAATGTAGCAAAACTAACTTAACAGCTGTGGTTATTGCACGCACAGCGCCGTTTACTATGATAAAATACTGTGGAAACAGGTGTAATTCAACTAAAAAGAATTAAAACATTTTGACTAAAGTGGCTTTGTCTTTGACTTTGGCTTTTTATGCAGTTTGCTTTCGCATTTGTTCCTTTGTTAACAATTATGTGTATATCCGTTATGTGATTGATACCATTAATATAATATCTATTATCGTTAAAATATATTATTTTACTTAGTTATTACTACATTACCAATAAAAAAAATTGTTGTCATAGGGAGATAAAGTATAATTTATATTCGCGATATTGCGGCGGTGATTGTTTTGCGCACGTATTTATGCCAACGATGATTTTTGATCGATGCTGATGTTTACGGCTAAAAATATATATTACATCAAGCAAGATAATCGACGACGGCGTTACGACATCAATTAACTGCAATTAAAGACGTGGTTTTAGTGACACAATGAAGCTTAAACATTATGCAGAGGACTGATTTGGAGACCAAGAAATAGTTGCTCTTCAAAAAATTTTTTTTGTAGAAAGTCAATCTATACTGAACAGAAACGCGTCACTCAAAACTGTCATAATTAAATTTAATCCTCGACCTGTGACGGCCCCTAATTACGTAAACTATTAGCATTAATTTAGAGAAGTCGTCTAAGTTTAAGCGTTGTTACATAAACGCTATGCAAGCGGAGATCGGGGAGTTAGGCCCGAGAGTTACCCGGAACTCAGCCGGGGTGTAATGCCGCCAGGTACAACTGGAATGAGACGTTTCCGTCCCTCTCACTTATGTGTGCCTTGTGCGTGGAAGTGTGAAGGCTCTGTGTACACTGGGGGGGTCGGAAGGAGCGTCACGGAGGAGGGTGCGCCCTTGACACTGGTCGGCCGGGCGAAGCCTCCCACGTATTTACCAACACAACCGCATGTAATCGCTGTCTTGTACAGATTTCGCTGTTTAATCAATGTGTTGGAATTGTTATTCAACAGAAGAATTTATTAGCTACTTACTACATTAAAATTATCTTTAGTAAATCTTGACTATACTAACAAATCGCATGGAGTTGCTGAGTCAAGTGAGTATTACATAGTTACAATCGATGAATCAATACTAGCTCTCCCAAAGTTCGGAAGTGCGCGTTAAGAATACAATTACTACTGTAACAATGTAACCTGTTTTATTTTTGTTAACAAATAAAACTGCGCATATTGTTTTTGTATGAGAACATTTGAACCTCAGTACGTAACGGGATACGGCACATCGGATACGGTGGCATTGAATAATATTAATCCTTGGTAGCTTTTTGCGGCAGCAGCTTGGCACATGTGTCCAATTAATATCATGTCTTAACTCAGCGTATACTTTAAGAACGTATAAATTGGTCGTTACAATAAAAATGTGTCAATTAAACTATTCTATATGTAACTACTCTTCCGTAGACTTCACAAGAAATGTCTAGATAAGCGAAAAATATAAGATAGTAGTAAAATCGCAAAGGGACAATTTTATCCCCAAAAAATGTTCGTGAAAACGAAATGTTCGCAAAGATTATAATCTTGTCACTCCGCGAGCTTTAAACTTGTTTTATTTTTGTATTTATAATTTTTTAAGGAACTCTCTCTATGAAAGATAAGCTTCGAGACGTAACAGGAAAGTCTTGTAAGTACCAGTACATAAACAGAATTTGCAAATCGGCAAATCTTAAAAACACAATTTTACGGATTCGGAATTCTAACACGGTTGAAAAATTTCCCTTCTTATGTTGTCAAAAAATTACACGCTTTTGTAAGCGTAGTTAACTTTTTACGTGTATAAATAATAAGCGTGAGTTGTACATTGCTGCTGATGGAAATAATCCGAGAATAATCAATCAAAACACATAATAAGAATGCGGTCAAACAAGATAATTATAATTATGCAGATATAGTTGATATGCGACAATAAGCTTGAAAATGGTATAATATACTTTATAACTTGACCGTTATGGTCCATCGAACATTTGTATTAGAAAAAAAAAGAAATAATTTAAAAGTTCTACAAAGGCACGAGAAAAACAAAACAAATTGTGCTTTTATATATATACGTTATTAAAAATAATAACTCTTTATCACGGTCAATTACCTACATTACGGCGCACAACCTTCTAGGAGCTTCGAGGCTTAAAATTTGTTTATGATAAAATAATGGGCAAGTGGTAGTGGGTGCTAGCGGACACGCACGGTAATAAACTATATAAATAAACATAAGTAATTGCGTAATTACGAGAAAATTATCTTCAGTATATCGGACCCAGGATTAAATTCGACTGTCCTAAATTTTGTTTACTACTAATAGTTAACAACACTGTTGTTTTATCTATTGTGATAACTAATTTAGAAGTGCGGAAGAGGAAGTTTCCACTGGTTCATCCAGAGGTCATCGGCCTCGGTCTGCGGTGGTGATTGTGAAACAGAGGTGTGTGTAGGCAGGCACGTAGCACATTTTACTATTGCACCATAGCGTGATAATGGTTTAACAAGGGCAACCAATGAACTTTCTCAATGCTCCCTTACTGTATACAGTACTCATCGTTTATAACGTTAACATTATGCAAGTAACCTGTTCACATCTGTACGCGACATCGAATTACCCACAATTTTCTGTCATTTCGCAAACAAAAGAAAGTAAAATTTATCAAAATAAATAGATGTATGACAAGCTTAAACAGCATGATAAAGATAAATGAATGTCGTGTTTTTAGACTGCATAGCTACGTTTGCACACCTGATGCTGGTAGGTGTGGCTGATGAGCAATACTTGCACAACCGCCCCTCCCACTTCTTCAATTAATGTATAGAAGAGACAGACCCAATACAGACGTAAAGACTTCGCCTCTCCACCATCGTGATTCCCATCAAAAAAATAAAAAACCCTGGCTTTCAAAACTCACACAAAGTAATTGACCTAGAGACGAGACAGGCGGCGGCTTAGAAAATCATCTTGAAAAATCACATGAACAGATGTGACCTAAATTCGTCTGAAAAGTAGATAACAATAAAATAAGCGATTATCACGAATTATAATAAAGAGTACATAAATCTAAGAATATAGGAATAGACGAACGGTAACGTCGTTAATCGTTCCGGCCTCAGATCGCGTTATAAGTTTGCGTTCCATTTATAAACTAACTAACTAACTGTTAGGTTCGGATCTCCTCCAAGGAGCCCTTTAAGTTTTACATAGTCGGCCTAGCCCAATGCGGTTGTGAACTTCAACACGTTTTCTAAGGGTTAGGAATCTGCTACGACGCGCAGGTTTCGTCGCGCAGTTCGTAACGACATTTTCCTTCAGCGTTTTCGAGAGGTATTGCCACTAAACATCAACTCATGCCGCCCGCCCCCTTTTTACCATCGGACATCCAGACATATTTCGGGATATCATCCTTGGTCTTTTTCAATAGGCTTGGTTCCTTCAGGGACCAAGACTATTGACCAAATTGTCCAAGGGACATTACTAAGCGCCTTTTATTTTACGCACAACCCAGGAATAGAATGCCGTGACTGCGACTGTGTTTCCGAGCACATACAGCCCGAGCATCTTTAAAGCGCAACTGAATAGGCATCTTGTGGGCGAGCGCGTTCCATCGTAGACCCTATCTTCGCTCCAGAGCTAGGTAGTTGTTAAGAGTAAATCGAAATTCAAGATCAAAACACACAAACGTACGTAGTTAGAAATGAAAGTCATAGGTACAAGCCTCCCTCAAGGAAGCTCGATCTTTCAATAGAGAAGCAACGGCTCTCACAATAGACTACCACGCTTTGAAAAAGAGCATCAACATACAAAATTAACAAACTATTGCATGAAAATAATTAAATACATCCGTTTTGAAAGTTATGGCAGAAAAAAGGCGCTAGCTCAACATAAATACGGTTGCCCACAATACTAGTTATTCTATACTGCCCGGACACTGTTTATTTGTACAACTTTATCGTTCTTATGGCCGTAGAGGTTTTTAGCATAATAAAAAAACATGTAATTTGCGAAACAAGAAATTTTTCTCAAACAGGTTTCCGATCGCTTTTAAACACACGATTTTGAATGGGTAACCAATTTTTTTTGGCATTTTTGTTTATATTTTTTGTTATCAATAAGACCAACAGCTGCAGTACATTCATAAACTTCACACCGCACAGTACGACCGATAATGGTTTCTTGT